GTAACTTGACTCCTATCACCATAGGGCATTGCCTGTCCTGAACACCAGAGTCTGTACTGTATAAACAGTCGCTCCTGTTGAGCCTGTCTAAATCATAGCTGGCCAGCTACACAGGGTTTCCAAACCTCTGAGCTCAGCTCCTGTCAAAGTCAGAGACAAATTTTCCCTCCGTGGCTTATCCTGGCAGCTCTCTGGATAGAACAGCCAAGGGTTAAAACCATCAGCAGAGATATAAAATAAAAAAGCAGTAGTCCCTTTCTCTCGGCCCCTGCGTTTGGTAGCAAAGGACTCTCTGAACGTAACTCTTAACCCTCAGATGTGGTTCGTCTGTGCCCATTGTTTTGTTCATTCTGTTCTGAAGAAACGAGGAGCCGCCATTTCTCTCATTTCTGAGGCTGAGCTGCTGTTGCTGCACTGTAGTGGGAGAATTCAGCTCAGCGGACTGCTGTCAGTGCACCTGGCGTCACCAGTCAGCTTACAAGCCGCCAAGGGTCCAGAGTGTTTCCTGAAGTCTTTAATCACAACTGTCACTTTGTGGGAGGGTCTGGGTTAGCTTGTTTCTACACTTTGGTCAAGTACAGTCCTGTTAGAAAGCAGCTGCCTCAGACATAAGAACTTGAGTTTGCAGGTCCTGTAGAAGGGAAAGGATGACATAAGCCGGTCTTACACTCAGGGCCTGCCTTCCTAGACTCTTAGACTCAGGCTGGTGACATTTCAGTCCTATGCTGATTGAGAGTCCAGCTTCACATCTCTTATTGAATGTTTGTCTTTGTATTTGTTTTTGTTTTTCATGTTTTATGTGTGTAGTGTTTGCCTGCATGTATATCTATGTACCACATGCCTGCGGTGCCCTTGGAGGCCAGAAGAGGGCATTGGATTACCTGGGATTGGTGTTACAGATTGTTGTAAGCCATCATGTGGATTCTGGAAATGGAACCCTGGTCTTCTGGAAATGTAGCCAGTGTTCTTAGCCACTGAGCCAACTTTTCAGCCCCGGTATGTTTTGTCATTGCTTTATTGTCATAAAAGCATAAAGAAGTTAGCTGAGATGGCTCAGTGGGTACAGTGCTTGCTGAGCAAGCATTAGGGCCAGAGTTTGGATCCTCAGAACCCATGTATAAAAAGACAGGCAGGTGTGGTAGCTGCCTGAAATCCCAGTTGTGGGATCCCCACAATTCCCTATCAGGATAACTGACAAGCTGAACTATCTGGAACTGGTAAGCTCCAGGTTCAGTGAGAGACCCTGCTCCAGTAAATAAGTTGGAGAGCAGTTGAGAACAATAGCCAGTCAGCTTCCACATACTTGTACATGCATGTGCCATACACATAAAAAAGGCAAAATAAGGTTTACACACTTGAACACTAACCACCACTCCAACATACTTGACAAATCATTACAACTGTTTGTCCTGTGCATTTTTAAATGTTGGGATATATCATCGTGGCAGAAGTGAGGGAAATTACAGTGGAGGGAAATAGTTGCCTTAGCCATAGACCCCCTGGAACTGAGAGGAGCATATTCTCGGCATCCCAGTCCCCTCATCTGTGTAACATGGAATGGTAATAGCACCTGCTCCATAGAGCTTTTGAACTACACAAGAAAACACGTGCAAGCTTGTACACACACTCTATTACAGGGTTGTGAGATCTTAGCGGTTAAAGCACTTGCCTCAAGAGCTTGGCAACCTGAGTCCATCCCAGAAACCCTCTAAAAATGCCAGATAGGGTGTCCTGCATCTGTAATCCCTGAGTTCCTTAGTAAAATGGGAGGCAGAGCCTGGTGTACAGAAACAAGAGAGTCCTACAAACTTCCAAAAATTGCCCTCTGACCTCCACATGCACGTTATGGCATGGGTGCGCATGTGCACACACACAGGGACATAATTAATTGAAAAACATTCTTGTATGCATATGTATTACTAAGGATAGAAACCAGGGCCTTGCTGTTTGTACACAAGCACTCTGCCACTGCCACCCTTCAGTTTAGACCATACCTTTGTCTTGCTTTAAGATCCAAACCCTGTCCTCTAGAAGAGCAGCAAGCACTCTTAATGGTTGGGCCGTATTGCCAGCCCCTTTTTTTTATGTATTTTTTAACTCATTTTCTACCAATTATTATCTTGGTCTGTAAGAGGACTACTTTTTAGTGGTAATGTACATGGTAGAGCATGGGTGTACCATCATAGTGTATGGCTTCTCTGTGCCCCTTAGATGCTTGAGCTGTTTCCTTATAAGTAATGCTATAATGAGCTGTTGGAATTGGGGGAACTGAGGATTGAACAAGTGTATTTTTACTTTTCATTAATGAAGCAAAGATAGGAAGAAATATCTTGGCGTGTGGCTGTAGAGGTTTCTGTTCTTGGTTAACTTGCTCCGTTGCTTTTGCTCCGTTGCTATGGTTAGGCAGCAGCATCAAAGGAAGTCATGATGAGGGAAAGCTTCATGGCAACCAGGAGTCAGAGAGACAAAATATGCCCTTCAAAACATGCCTCTTGAATAGCCCGCTGAAGTGTGAGCCCATGAGTAGAATAACCCATTGATAATGGCAGCACCCTTCCAGTCCAGGCCCCTCTCAGTAGCACCACTAGCTGAGACCAAGCCTTCAACACATGGGCTTTTGTATGGGGGGTGGGAGAGTCATGCCTAAACCCTTAGGGCCAGTGTAAGTTAGGCAAACTCTTAGCCACTGAGCTAGTCTAGTAAACAGGGGTTTTTTGTTTTGGTTTTTTTTTTAATGTTACATATAGCATGTTAATTTGCACCCTGGAAAATCTCAGGCACATGACCTAATCTTTGCATCTTTTGTTGCTGTGCATACCCCATGGGAACTGAATGTTCTCCACCTGAGAAGATGCACTATAGATGAGATAAGACGACACAAGCTTTGGAATGGCACCTCTACTTGCCAGGTACTCGGTAGATACCATCACCTAATCTCCACCGCTGGTATCTTCAGGCTTGCTCTCCAGAGATGCGTTTATTGAGTGACTGCTTTCCAGAAGGATTTTGGCAGATCGTGATGAAACAACCCATTTCTTGACACCCCCTTTAGCAGTGTCCCTTGACATTTACTGCGTAATTCACTTTCCCTGTAAATAGTAATGAAAAAGCAAACACACCCAGATGTAGGCAGCTTATACAGACTTGACTAGACAGTTTCGTCTGTGCCAAGGCCAACTTCCACAGACTCTTTAGTGCGCCCTCCACAGCTGCATGTCCATCATACTACATTGTAAGTTGGTCCTTTGATGCTTAAAACACATCTTATTCTTCACTGCAGTACAGGCTATTGGGCATTGGCTTAGTCTATTTTCTGTTGCTAGTAGTACAGTACAGTACAGTACCACGGACTGGGCAGTTACTAAGGAAGGAAGTTTGGGCTTCCTGTTGTGGCCTGGGTCATAAGGCCTCACCTGGTGACTTTCTTGCTGGCAGTGTGTCAAGATGGCACATGTCACGAGAGCAGGTTTATAACTATCATCTGCTCAGTATTCCTCTGAGACCACCCGTATCAAATCCTGGAGACTCCACCATGTGGATCCTGTCTAATCTTGGTCACTCCAAAGACCACAGTCAGATAGTTCCCACCCTCTTTCCTCACAGTAAAGATTACACCCCAATGTGAGCCTAGGAGGGGTCATGCCACACTTATTCTATTGCAGACAGCTTTGTAATTTTACTTTTCCCTAACAAATCAACAGTTTACTCAAGGAAATTCCACTGTTAGGCTATAGCCTCTTAGGATCCTTCTCCCTCCAAAAAAAAAGAAATTGGCAAAGGTAATTACCACAGTGCTCTCTTTACCCCCAGAAGTGACCTCTTTTGGGTGACAGGTTCTCTCCCCATCCTGCTCCCGAGGGCCTCTTTGGCAGCTGTGGCAGCTGTCTGCCCAGTGAGGGCTCAGCACATCTCTCTCATGGCACTTCACCTAGGAGTCCTTCACCCTGGCAATACCAGGATGTAACCCAGAGCACTGTGCCAGCCAGGAAAGTGCTCCACCCAGGGTGCATACCCCCCCCTCTTGCGTTCACCCTGGGGGCCCATTTTACTATTCTCTCTTGACTGACTGACCCTCCTCACTGGCAGAGGAGTGCTTCTCATTTGCTTCAAAAGTTGCTCCAGGGGGTCTGCTGGCATGTGCCTAGAACCCCAGCAGAGCGGGGCACCAAGAGTTGAAGGCCATTTCGGGCTACATAGCAAATTCTAGGTCAACCTGGGCTTATATGAGACCCTGACTCAAAAAGCCAAAAGTAAACAAAATAGAAGTTGCTCTTTTTCCTTCAGAATAATTTTGCCCGAAATTAATCTTGTTGCAAATGTTACATCCTTCATTTCTCTCCACTTGAAATTTTTAAAGATTGTTTTATGTGGGCGGGTGGTGGTGGTGGCTGCGCATGCCTTTAATCCAGCGCTTGAGAGGCAGAGGCAGCCTGGTCTCTGTGAGTTCAAGGCCAGTCTGGTCTACATAGTGAGTCCCAGGACTGTTACACAGAGAAACCCTGTCTCGTAAAACAAAAAGAGCAAACAAACAAACAAAAAGATTGTTTTATGTGAATGAGTGTTCCGCCTGCATGTGTGTCTTCCCATTATGTGCACACAGCGCTCTCAGAGATTCAGAGATGAGAGACGGTGCCAAATCCACCAGATTTGGAGTTACAGGTGGTTGGTTGTGAACAGTCCGGTGCGTGCTGGGAACCTAAAGTAACTGTCAACAACTGGCCACGGGCAGGGCTTTTCCTTAGTGGAAATCAAGCTCTCATGGCCAGGCCAGTGACCTTCCACGAGAGGATCACTGGACGGTATCTGGCATACAGGACTCTGTGACTCCAGAGGCTCTTTTTCCCCAAACAAACTCTCGAATTCTTTGTGTACCGTGATGGCCACTTTAAAAAAGAAAGTACTCTGCTGAGGGATCCTGCCACGCTGCTCCAGTCAGCCATGATCGTTGTTCATGGTGTGAATTCTTCTCTAAAACTGACTTTTCTGGTTCTTTTAACTAGGTGACTTTCGAATGGTGATTGGTGAGGAAAAAGCGAAAGTCTTGAACATCGTGAAGCCCAATGTAGCCCATTTCCGAGAGCTCTATGGGAACATATTGCAGGAGGACCCCCAGGTGGTGTATAAAATGCAACAAGGCCGGCTAGAGGTGAGCTGTGTGAGCCTGACTCCTACACTACCAAAAGAAGAGCTAGTATTTATTTCTTCATGTTTTCTGAGATGGTAGTAATTGAACTTGTGCCTCACACATAACAGACCAGTATTCTACCACTAAGCTACATCCAACCCCCTTGGTGCTTCTTACCTTGAGGCAGGATCTTTCTAAGTCGCCCAGGATGGTTTTGAATTCATTCTACTGCCCTGGAAAGCCTTGAACCTGGTAATCGTCCTACCCCAGCCCTCCAAGAAGCTAGAATAACAGGCCAGTCCCACCCACAAGGCTAGTGGCAAGGACTGTCTTTTTCTGTACCAGGTTTTGAAGCTGACAGAAGTCTCACACTTCATTGACACTTTGATCATGTGTGTCCTTACACTTTGTCCTCTTTCACGCCCTGCCCTCTGAGTGCCCTGGCCCACTCTGGGCAATTCTCTTTTGTCCCTAGTCAGTTACCATTTTACTTTTGATTGAATGTATTCCGTTACCCTCCCTACTTCCTCTTCCTAAGATTCCCTCTTGCCTAGGGTGGCCACCTTATTTCCCTTGTGTCCAGCCCCATCCATTTTCCTGCAGTTACCATGATTCATTTTTCTTTACACTTCCATTGTATATCTGTGCCATGTTTTCTTTTATTTTAGATTATTTTAGACAGCCAATGGCAGCCCAGGCTGTTCTTCAAGTTCCTATATAGCCAAGGATGACCCTGATTCTCCTGAGTGTCAGAATTCAGGCATGTGCCCCCACACCCCATTTATATAGGGCTAGAGCTTGAACGCGGGCTTTCTGCATGCTGGGCCTACATCCCAGCCCTCCTCTATACTTTCTTCATCCGTCATCTGTTGGTGAACAAACAACAAGGCGGTTCTGTTTCCTGACTGTTAGGAGTAGTGTGGCAATAAGATGACTATGCCAAAGGTTCCTGTGGAGTATTAACTTAGAGTCCTTTAGGTAGTGCCCAGGAGTTAAGGTAAAGCCAGGTCTTTTGAGAACTGTCTATTCAATTCTTTAGACCATAAATGCTATTTAATTGATTGGGCTGGCAGGATGGCTCAGAAGGTAAAGAATTCTTCCACAAGTTGTCTCTGGCCTCTGCATGCTCAACATGGTGTGTACACCCATACCCATAAATAACTAAATGTAATTTATTTAAAGAAAGAGAAGGGAAAGACATTCTGCCTTTGATGTTGTAGACAAACGTGACATAACAGAATATCCAGGTTTCCGGTTTCCTTCAGATGTCTTATCACAAGGGTTGTAAACATGAGTTCATCCCTGAGGCAAACCCCAAGGTATAACTGTTGTTTCTTTGAGGTAACTGTGAGCTGATTCTGGTCTTCCTCCCCAGCAGGAATGGAAACAGTCCATTGGTCCCCAGGACCATGCCCCAGATACAGCCATGGCTCTACTGAGCTGCCCTCAGATACTCTACCACACATGGTGCTGCAGGCCCATCAGGGTTTCTGCTTGCTGGGTTTACAGTCATGTACTGTAACCCGCTAGGATTTGTTTAGTTCTTGTAAAGGTCAGACTTCCTGGGGACCTGGGGACATGACAGGGGCCATCAGCACTTTTTTTTTTTTTTTTTTTTTTTTTTTTTTTGCTGGGGCACTGTTAGGGTGATGGAGGTAGGGTAAGAAAGAGACCAGCGTATTAGTTCATGAATCTGTGGGGCAGCAGGTTTCCAATCTGTAGGACAGTCTAGGGGTTTGGTAACCTGGGGAAGAGTTGACACTGCAGCCTTGAGTCTAGAGACAGACTATCTTCTTCAAGGGACCATGGACATTTCTCTTGTACCCTTCAGCTGACAGATGAACTATGGTTTTACTGTTATCAGTTTTTTTAAAATTAATTTTTATTTAAATTAAAAACAATCTTATTTTACATACTGATCCTAGTTCCCTCTCCCTTCCATCCTCCAAGTCCCCCCACCAACCCTCTGTTACCAGTTTTTGGGTTTTTTGTTTTGTTTTGTTTTTTTGGTTTTTCGAGACAGGTTTTCTCTGTGGCTTTGGAGGATGTCCTGGAACTAGCTCTTGTAGACCAGGCTGGTCTCGAGCTCACAGAGATCCGCCTGCCTCTGCCTTCTGAGTGCTGAGACTAAAGGCCTGCACCACCACTGCCCGGTGTTACCAGTTTTTTTAAGCTAAAAAAAGTGACATATTAGCTGGGCGGTGGTGGCAACACGCCTTTAATCCCAGCACTCGGGAGGCAGAGGCAGGTGGATCTCTGTGAGTTCGAGGCTGGGCTGGTCCGACAGCCTCCAAAACAATACAGAGAAACCCTGTCTTGTAAAACCAAAAAACAAAGTGACATATTTCATCTGTATTCACCTGAGCTAAATGTTAATGGCATCTTAAAAATGCCTTTTCCTTGACACCTGGACTGGTGTTTGAACAAGTAACTGAGCACTGCCGATTAGTCAAGGTACACAAAATGGCCATCACACCCCTACATTTTCTGTGTGTACAGATAGCAGTAATTTCTCCCTCCTGAGATGTGATTTTACTTTTTCTTACTTCTTTGGCCACAGGGAGAGAATAACAGCCTCAGAGTGTTGTACAATGTGTAACGTGCATTCTTCCCTCCAGCCGCCTGGGTTCTGCAGCTGTCTCAGCCCCCAAATAACACACGAAACACTATATTAATTATGGAGCTGTTGGCCGTTTGCTTGGTTTCTTATTGGCTAGCTCTGACTTAATTATTAACCCATAACTGCTAATCTGAGTATTTACACGTAGTATTCTCTTACCAGAGAAAGGGTCCAGACCTCTTACTTGTCCTGCGTCCTACAACGTGACTGACTATGCCTCTGTTTCCCAGAATCCTACTCAACTCCTAGTCCCACCTATCTTGCTTCCCTATTGGCCAACAGGGCTTTATTTAATAAACCAATACGACAACATATACACAGAAGGACTTCCCCCATCAACAGTGGCAGCTCTAACATCCCTCCATGAGTTTGCTCATGGGAACACTCCCAGTGCCAATCTCAGGTGAGGTGCTCCTGTACCCAGGGACCTCATCTGCTCTCTGAGGCTGCTGGGAGCTAGAGAGAGGCCCCCTTTAGAGTTCTTCCAGCTCAGGGCCGGAGGCCAGGTCTTTACCTCCAACCAGCCTATCCAAACAGCAAGTCAGATAAATGCCTTCACTCTGAGACTTCCCTTTTTTTGTTTGTTGTTACTGTTTGGGACAGGGTCTCGCTATGTAGCCCTGGCTGGCCTGGAACACACTATGTAGACCAGGATGGCCCTGAACTTGCGTGATAGGCGTGTGATCCCATATGACTTTGAGGAATTGGTTCTCTCCTGCCTTGACATGGATCCTGGGGGTGGAACTCAGGTCACCAGGCTGCTGAGCCATCTCACCTGCTCCTGAAGCTGTTCTTTGCTTTGATGCTAAAATCTAAACATTTGTGAAGGTGTTACAACCTCTGCGTGGATTAGGCATCTACACTCAAGTGTAGCTTTCATGTTTTTATATTTTTAATTCTATGAAGCAAAGTACACTGACTGTATTAGGGAACTGGTTTGGTTTTATCTCAGCAGTGGAGCTAACTTTTGACAGCTAAGTTACAATGATCAGTTATAATCACTCACCTTCTGTGTTCTGAAGGATTCAGAGTGAGGCGGGCCATTGTCATCATTGTGTCCCTGCAGTCATTTGTGAAGTACAGCACCAGATAGACAAGGTCCAGAGCAGGGCTATAAATTCACTTCACATTGTCCCGTACTCACTTCCCCTCACGGCATTTAGAGTGGGAAGGAGAACCTGAGCCCTGAATTTGATCTGGACTTGTTAGCTGCAGCCCTGCCTCCTTTAGCTGCTGGTTTAATACAAACAAAACAGTGTAAACTACAAGTCAGAACTTTATCCTCCAAAGAGGTTTCTGTTGGAGCTGGAGAGATGGCTCTGTGGCTAAGAGCTGTTTTCTTGCAGAGGGCCTGGATTCAATCCCAGCACCTCCATGGTGGCTCAGAACTGTGTGTGACTCTAATTCCAGAGGATCTGACACCCAATTCTGGGCTCTTCAGGAACTAGGCACATATGCTGTACACAAACATACGTGCAGTCAAAACACCAAATATTCATAAAATAAAATATTTTTAAAAAATGTTTAAGAGACTTCTCGCCGGGCGGTGGTGGCACACGCCTTTAATCCCAGCACTCGGGAGGCAGAGGCAGGCGGATCTCTGTGAGTTCGAGGCCAGCCTGGTCTACAGAGTGAGTTCCAGGACAGCCTCCAAAACAATACAGAGAAACCCTGTCTCGAAAAACCAAAAAAAAAAAAAAAAAAAAAGAGAGAGAGAGAGAGAGAGAGAGAGAGACTTCTCTTCTTTCCTAATAAAGAATGGAATATTCTAGAACCAGAGCTGTCCTCTTTGAAAGGACCTGTAATCCTAACCATGTAAATACTCAGTTTCCTATACCACCTGGGGTAGGTGTGGTGTTTCTGTTAGAAGGAAAACCTTATTTAATTACAACTGTATGCATGGGAGTCCCACATAGTATGAGACTCTTGTTTGTGGGATTTTTAAATAGAAGCCATGTGTCCAACTGTGTCTAGACTTCAGAGTGCTTGCAAAGACGTCATCTCTCTCTCTCTCTCTCTCTCTCTCTTTCCCAGATAGATAAAAGCCCAGAAGGACAGTTCACTCAGCTAATGACATTGCCCAGAACCTTACAGCAGCAAATCAATCATATCATGGACCCTCCTGGGAGAAACAGAGATGTGGAAGAAATCTTACTGCAAGTGGCTCAAGACCCTGACTGTGGTGATGTGGTGCGCCTAGGTGTGTCCACGAGTTTGGTGTTAAGCAAGGGCTGGCTGTGGTCCTTCAGACACATTATTTCTTCCTCTTTGCCTAATGAGATCAAGAGAGAGATTTCGTCTGGGGAGAAGAAAAACTTGAACAATTCAGGGTTTTCCAAATCTCAGTGTTCTCTTGCTCGAAGCAAGCAGTGGGAAATTTTTCAGGATCCTGGGCCCTAAATCACCGCCAGTGGTTGAAGCAATGCTTTAGTTTCAAGAACATAACTTCTAGATGTCGTTTGAAAGATGTGTCTGACCCTTGTGGTGTGAGAAGGAAAGAGACTGATGACGTCTCCAGCTTCTCTCTGACTGGGCCCAGGCTGTCTACCCGCTGATGGCTCCCAGGCCGTGTTTCTCCACCTTCACTCCAGGTCCTCCCTGATGTTTATCAAGAGTCAAATCTATGTGGTGGGGCAGGAGATTTGCCAGTAGTTCATAACTAGCTTAGACTGCATTGTGAGTGCAAGGCCAGCCTAGGCTAAGTAGAGGACAGGAGGGGAGAAGTAATTGAAACTGAAAATAACTCTACTCTCAAGCGAGTCCATTTTCCTGCTCTCTCGGTGAATATTTGTTGACTGGAAATGCAGTTTACAGTAAGGAATTAACATGAGACTGGCTCTTCTCCCTCTCTCAGGGACCTGCTCCAGGTTTCCTGAACGTGCCCATGTACTCCCCTATGCCCAGGACAGGCCCGTTGCTGGGTTGCTGCTGTCCCGAGGCGATGGAGGGCTTGGACCCTGTTTCTTAGGGTATTCTCTTCATTTACCTTTACAGTGGATGCTTTTCTTCTAGATAAAAAAAAAAAAAGAAACATTTCTTTAAATCTTTCTGCATCTAGGAACTGAGAACTAGAAGACATAAACAGCTTTAAATTCCTAAGATGGCCTTTGAGGGTCACCTGCCACCCATGAGTTGCATAGCAGCCCAGGCCTTCGCCAGTGGTCACATAACTGTGCCTGAGCCCAGCAGGCCTCCGCAGTACCCTACCCTCTGTTCAACACCCTTTTCACAGTCACTCCCTAGCAGGGACAGCATTCCTCCACTAATTCTGTTGACTAGCTGGAAATGTCTAGTTTTAGATTTTTTTAAGACCACTAAGACGACAGCCCGTCTGTCTGGGCTTCTCTCAGTATCCCTTTTGTTTTTGTGTTTTGCAGGGGTCTCGTCAATCGTCAGACCGTCAAGCATCAGTCAGAGCACCAAAGGTCTTTTTACTGCTGGTAAGAGCTTTGGAAATCGGTGCCTATGGTGTGCCTGCTGGACAGGATGGCTTTGATGCTGTTGGTAAAAATACAAAGCTTTGCACATGCCTCTTCCTTGTGCCTGTGCAATCCTCACACCTCGCCACTATACGCCCGGACACTGCAGTACTGTAGACACAGTTGTGACTGCAGTGTGCCTCGGACATCCACCAGGCCACTCACTATCTGAGGTGCTGGCAGAAGGCTTGGCCTCTCCTCTCGGTCCCTCTCATAGCTCCTGTGTGGGGTTTTGCCCTCGCATTCCTGTATTGAAGTCCTACTGGGAAGCCCTGCAAAAGTAGCCATCCTGGGTGCTCCCTCCCCATGGCCCCTTCGCAGACGCCTGCTCCTGTCTCAGTGAGGGGTTTGTTTCCTGAGCGATGGACTTCTGTTGCCCCATCTACCGTGAGTGATCAGCAGGCAGTGCTTGGCCACCCGATGATGTCCTCCCTTTTGTCGCTGTCCTCCCGTCAGGCCACCCCCTCCATTCTCGCTCCCCTACTCTATGCTTGCAGTTTGGGCAAGTCATTATTGCAGGTTTAACACTGAGAGAGGCTCGTGTGTGCTTTTCCTCCTCAGCTGCCCTGTGGGGACTAGGACTTGTCCCCCTTGTCTGTGCCTTTCACTCTTGGTGCACAGTGTCCTTTTGATGAAAAAGAAAGAGTTTTAGAGACTGTGTTTGAAACCTTTTTTCTCTGTCCTTACACATAGTTAGCATTTAGGCCAGGTAAAGAATAAAAATAATTTTCCTGCAAACCTTGAGGTCACTAGGTCTGCGGGGTACACACCCTAATCGCAGCACCCAGGAACTCACAGTTCAAGACCATCCTTGTCTACATAGCAAGACTCTGCCTGTGAGCAAAACAGAGAGGGGAGGGAGAGACAATTTTGAAATAATTACTGCAATTATTCTCTCACTTTCCAGACTACTGTTAGAGTTCAAAGCCATCCTGCTCCTTAATCCATCGTGTGTGTTCTTTCTGGAAGCTCCGGGGCTCTGGAATGGCATGCTGTGATGTGATTGTTTTGATCTCTTTTCCTGGCCACTGTCTCAATGGGGAAACCCAGAATAGTCTCTCATTCCCCTTTTGTTCTCAGTTCTCTTTCTAAAGTCCTTTATCCAGATGCTGGGCTCCTAGACCAGGGGTTGCTCTCTTTTGTCTCCCATGTGTTAGCCTTGTGGTCCTTTTCTTCTGCTCTCTGGGAGGTTTTCTCAAGTTTAGTTCTGATCCTGCAGGTCTCTGTGTGTGTGTGTGTGTGTGTGTGTGTGTGTGTGTGTGTGTGTGTGTGTGTGTGTGTAGGGGGTATTGGGTGTCACACAGAAACCCATGTATTAAGCATCTGTCCTGTGCTAGATGCTCAGGATATGAAAGTGGGCATTGGCCATCTTGCATCCTGACCCGGAAAGGGAGACAGACACGAGTTAATGGAAATGGAACAGAAGTAGCTCCCAAACCGAGTGACCTTTCACCTTGGGTCTGAGACTTTCCTAGAGCTGGTGTGGCCTGATGCCTTAGCTGCTGAATGCTGGAATTTCTGTTTACCTCAGTTTGTGTGTTGGAGCTGGGGGATTTTAAAAGAACCTTCACTGGACTTCTTTGGCCAATGAGAAGCTTCACTGCTCCACATACATACGCAGCATGGTAGAACTAAACTGTTTATAACTTAAAATGCTTTGGCACTGTGGACCCAAAAGATGGAGAAACTGAAGTATTTTATTCTATTATGTGCCTGATTTTAATAAAAGTAACTTCAGTTGTGGCACTTCTTACTGAGAAAAGCGGCCTGTGTAAAACTGCATTATCATGTGATACACCAGAATTACTAAAATTACTTCTCCTATTTGAATAGTGAAGATTGGACAGGAGGGAAAAAGTCAGTGTGAATCCCACCCAGCCCTCCCTCCTGATAACCTCCGACCGGAGCCAGGCCCCAGTCCTCTTTCCACTGATTCCTCCTGTCTGCCAGCAGAGGGCAGTGCTAGCAGAACATGCCACCCAGGTTCCCTGGGGCCCTGGAGCACTGCCCTGCTTTCCCTGAACAATGACTCGTTCCACCTTCCTTTCGCAAGGAGCCCACATGGCACCGTGGGAGTACACACGCTGTGGAAACTGTAGAAAACGATGAGTTCTGTGGGTCTTCTGGCCTTGCCCCTTGTGACATCTATAACCAGTCCCTCAGATGGTGTTGGAAACCATGTCCAGTGTGGTGTGCAGCCTGACCACTCTGTCTTCACGGCTTCCCTTTGCAGTTCTCATCATCAATACACTTGTTATAGTTTGAATACAGAAATATCATGTTCCTTTTCTCCAAGTTTCTTCCTTAGGGGCTGTTCTCTGTCTCTTAAATGGTGCTGTTGGCAGGGGGGACTCTGATCAGGTTTTTGGGTCATCAAGAACTGAAGCCAGCAGGGTGCCCCTGCAGAAAGTACTTTGCTGCTGAGGGTATCACATCTCTGCTAACAAAAGACCAGCTAAGCCAACTGTCATTGTCTGAGCAGCAGCCCTCTACAAAAGTTTCTCTGCCTGGGGAGAGGCAGCTGCAGCGGTTTGAGTAAGCTGGTCTGGGGACTTGTCGGTAACAAATGGGAGAGTCAGTGACCAGCCAGCCTGAGAGATACGCCAGAGCCCCACAAAAGATGGCCTCCTAGGCTGCAGTCAGCTTTCTGGAATATAGAGCTTCCTTGAGGGCAGAGGGAAACCACTGGTGGGTGTAAGAAGGCTACAGCAGCAGCAGATGGAGAGGGGAGAGCTGTTGCCAGAGAAACCAGGTAAGGTTACTGCCAGCCAGCTGGCCAGCCAGCCAGGAGACCTCTGTAGCCCAAGCCCAGTCTAGAGCAGCACCGACAAGAGAAGAGAGCCCAGAATGGAGTGTCTGGGACACATGAGTGGAGGCCAGAGTTTGGCCTTGGGAGGCAGTGGGGCCGCCCTCTGAGGGGCTGGCACTGGGGTGACTGTCTTCTCATTTCCCCACCTGTCTTTATGGCCAATCAGAGTTAACTCTAAGGGCAGATCCCTCTCCCACTTCAAAAGATTCAGCTGAATTAACAAAACAGGTTTAATCTTGTCCCTAAAAAATATCCCAGCATGCCTCACTGCTTCTCAGCCCTTTCCTGAAACACAGTGGAGCCGATCATTATTTTCTTCTTACATCATCTTTCTAATGATGTGTTTATCACTTAATCCTGAATATGTATCCTCCCTCCCTCCCTCCCTTCTTCCCTTCCAGCAGAGTCTCTGTATCTGAGCAGGTTCACCCACCCATTCCCTGGGCTTCGCAGCCCTTAATGTCCTTTGAAGAACACGTCACCTGTTTGAATTTTATGAAATTGTTGGTTGAGATTTTTAAAACCTTTGTTGAAATGAATGTTTGTTCTTAGCTTTGTGCAAACCTCAGATGCTGGGAAAACCCAGTAGGACTGAGCGCTTTCAGGGTGGGATGGCTATAGACAGAGCCCTTGAAACTCTAACCTCTGGCCCCTCTGCATGTTAGTGCACATAAACGGTGCACAGCAAGCCCTCTGCAGCTTTAGGGAGCTCAGATTCACAGCCAAGCCTGACTGTGGACAGACTCTGTGTTACCTAGCGTAGCATCTAACAGATGAGAAACTGGAGGCTCGGAAAGGGAGAGTCACCATCACACCCATCCTAGCCCAACTGGGCCCACAACCCAAGTCTCTGTGTTGTTTGTAGCACAGTTTCCTCCTACAGTCTTTCTGACAGAGCTGAAGGACGGAGTGTGTTCAGTCAAGGGAGGTCTTTAATCCTCTAAGCAGCTGTAGGTGGCACGCAGTGCCAGTCAGCTATGTTCAGTATTTACCTGCTGTTCCAGCTCTGAGGAGCTCCTAAGCTCGTCCCTGAGCTTTCTGAAGGCCTCTAGCCATGACTCAGCAGCCTGGGCTTGCTGCTCTTATTCTTGCATGTGTGGCTGCCTGGCTTCCGCTCAGTCTTCTGGTTGGTTCCGCTGGAATTTGAAAGAGCACCTTATGTAATGATCTTCCAGCCCTAGTGTTCAGGTGGGTGAGGCTGGCCAGAGTCATTGCCCCAGGGGGGAAATTAAGAGGGGTGGAGGCAGTGAAAAAGCTCTGAGTTTCTCAACAGGATCATGTCAAGCCAGGAGCACACATCCAGACTCATCACTAATGATTTTGGGAACCCTGCCTTTCTCTTTATCACCGCCTGCAGTAGCCAAAGGTTCCAAGCAGGCAAGGCAGCTTCCAAGTAACAGGGCCAGCTAGTTTAAAAGATTACTCCCTGGAAAGAATTGTGTCCATTGTGTCCCCTTGTCAACATGTTCACCAAAGCCACAGCCAGGAGCATGCGTTTCCAACCACGGCACAGATCACAGTGTACAGCTCAAAGAGAAAAAGGCTTCAACTCCTCTGGCCACACCCTGAAGCACTGCTCGACCTCACCCTCAACACAAGGAAGTCAGACCATAATAACATCCCCTGGCAGGACTGGAGAACACTAGCATACCATCTATCCCATTGTAAGTTTTTCCCATCAGCCCCAGCGAGCCTCTCTGGGGTCTTGCAGTTGAGATGACTGACGTCAAAGGGCTGTGAGGGCCAGTCTTCCCTCTGACACTTCAGAAGACTCAGCTGAGTACCTACTGTGTGTTGTTGGATACCAGGTATTTCACCAGGTGAAAGGGATACAGGAGTGACCAGAACTGTCCCGAAGGAGCTGTCAGTCTAGTCAGAGAGACGGGGGAGTCAGCTACAAACACTGTACAATGTGGTAAATGTTATGTGGACACCAGACATGAGAGCAACCTGGCATGTGCACTAAGCAGGAAATAGAATAGCGTTTGTTCTAGGCAGGCAGTAGTCGCGTGTGGGTCACAGAAGCAACAAGCTGCGGTGGCTGGGGCGCAGGCGCTCCTCCCTTCTTTCTAAAAGACCTGTGGAGCTCGGTGGCTGCCCGTACCTCCACAGCTCAAAGACTTGCTGTCCCAGGAAGTCTACTTCCGAGAGCAGCATGGTGTGTGCAACAGAGGCCCAGCTCAGAGTCTCTGTGACAGGTCTCTCTTGGCCTTTAAAAGCTTTCAGCTCCAGGTCCTCAAGAATGCCCAGTCAGCCCATCATAGCCCCATTCCAAAGACAGGCCTCCAGTCAGAGTGACATTGGCAGTCTAGCTACATGTCCACTGAACAGGATGCATTTTCTCACCCGTGCTGCTTTTCTCTTGCAGGTGTGAAGAAGTCGGTGATTTATAGTTCACGGAAACTGAACAAAATGTGGAAAGGCTGGTTGAGAAAAACACCCTGACTCGCTGGTGTTTGTGTTATGTGTAGATTATGAATAAATGGCTCCGCGCTTTTTGAAGGAGCTTTGTTTATTACTCTGACTGGCTGCTTGAAATTGAGGAGACCAAGGTTTGCATCATACTTGGTAGGGTTTATTTCTGTTCTGTATTTTGCTTTTAGGCAGGGTTTCACTTTGCAGCCCTGGCTGACCTCAAATTCACCAAGATCCATCTGTTTCTACCTCCTGAGTGCTGAGATTAAAGGCATGTGCCACCGTGCCTGGCTATGCTTGATGTTTTGTTTTAGTTTACATGTCAGACAGTAACTCAGGTACAACCCAAGCATGCAAAAGGACTTTGCATTCCAAGAAAAGTCCTCTGTGTACAGAGTTGAAAAGGCATTCTTGTGATCCAGGTGGGGGGAGGGGTTATGACTTGAGGACCACTGGGCTTTTGAATTTGCATCCTGGAAAGACTATAAGCTGTGTAAGTTGGACTCTCTTCCTAGTGCCCTGCACCTCATTCACTCGGTGGTTTTTTTGTTTGTTTGTTTTGGCTTTTTGTTTGTTTGTTTTGTTTTATGCTTTTTGGTATTATGTGAACGTTAACAGTGCAGAAGCCAGAAGAGTGGGGGTCATATTTCTGTACTAGAGTTATAGAAGTTGTAAACCATGTGGGTGCTAAGAACTGAGCCTGGGTCCTCTGCAAGAGCAGCTAGGGCTCTTAACCACTGGTCCATCTCTCCAGCCCCTTCTCTTGGTTTTTGCCATCAAGGGCTCACAGTTGTCTCATGAATTTTCTGGATTAGGATTAGGTTTTTCTACATTTGTATTTATTCTCCATGAAAGTATGTACCAGATGACTTTTGGGCGTACAGCCCAGGACAACCCTTTGCTGACTGCCCTGCTGTAATGAGACATGTTTGGGCACCAGGAACCCAGCTACACAGACTGATTCTTCACCCTGCTTTCCTCTCATCTCTCTGCCCTCTGTCGTGTTGGAACCCACTAATTAGAAAATTGCTAATGAGCCGGGCGTTGGTGGCGCACGCCTTTAATCCCAGCACTTGGGAGGCAGAGGCAGGCGGATCTCTGTGAGTTCGAGGCCAGCCTGGTCTACAAGAGCTAGTTCCAGGACAGCCTCCAAAGCCACAGAGAAACCCTGTCTCGGAAAAAAAAAAAAAGAAAAGAAAAGAAAATTGCTAATGACAGCTCAAGGGCCATCCACATCTGGGAAGACCGAGAGTCTTTGAAAGCTCTCTCAGAAAAGCAGATTACCAGCCAGTTGTGGTGGCATCAGGCTGTTATCCCAGGAGGCTGGAGCCAGGGGATCATGAGTTCAAGGTCATCCTGAGCTCCATAGTAAGAGCTCTGTAAAAGGTAGAGGAGAGCTGGCTAAGTTTCCAAGAGCCCTACAGTGCTCTGTCTGTTAGTACTGGTCTGACTGATCTGCCAAATATGGAACCAGCTTGTTGAGTTCGTCCCTGAGCTGCTTACCTGACTACAGGAGGCAGCTTCCTCCCAGGC